ATTTATTTCCAATTGCCAAGTCATAAATGGTGCCTTTATACACATGACTTCAAGTTCTCCCAGGTTGTATGGAGTGTCCACCTTTATACTTGCAATGGGATACTTTCTCACTATCCCAACAATTAGCACACAGATATACCTTGCCCATCATCAGATACTACATTGGTTCTCACTGCTGCACTATTGCACACCCAGTGTCTTGTAGGACTTTCACTTTCTTGTCCCTTACATAGTATTCACCTACTGGCATGTTGTGGTTTGTTGGCACCTCTTGATGTTTGTAATGTGCTCTGATCACTGGCACTCTTAACCTGTTTAACTTAAGCTGATCATCAATCATGCACTGTTTAATCGTGGTGATACCACTACTTTCTTGTGGTGAATCTAATGAGTTGTCTTCATTCTGTTTCTTTTGGCAGAAGCTTCCATAGTGACAGTCTCTCATTTCTTGTTTCTTGCCAGCACCATCTTTATAGGTAGCTCCAGCTTCTTAATATGGAGATTTCTGCTGTTGTTTGTTGGTGACAGACTTGCACTCACTGACAATATGCCCCATTTTAAAATAAGCATAGCATCTCTTCTTCTTTTTTGTCTGTTGACTTCTTGTCATCTTTGGTGGGATCCTGCTTCTGAGCAGCCAATTCTGGTTTTGATTTTGACCGATTATTCTTGGACTTGCCAGTTATGCTCCCTCCATGGGCTTCCATATACTGTTTTGCCAGGTTGATTGTCTTGTACATATTTTTCAGTGCTCTCTCTTTTAGGAACAGTGACATGTCACTACTGGCACAAAATGGTGTTTGAATGGAATCTCAGCTTTCATCATTATACCTTTCCTTTAGTTAACTTTAGAATACTAATTTTATGACTATTTTACAATAGTGTAACATTTTACGATTGGAAATTTTTGTTCTATTTGTTTTTCCAGTGAGGAAGCCTGTAATCTAGGGATTTAGTTCTCCATGTAAAGTTGGGACAGCTTAGTCTGCTATATGATCATTAGGCGACAAAATTATATGTCCACTTCCATCCCTATCTTGTTTGGTTTCTTTCTTTCAAGGTCAATAGCCAGCCTTACACAAGTTTTTTTACCTATCAATAATTTTTTTCCTTATACTTGTTTGTTTACTTTTTTTTATAAAATGGCATAAGTGGGTTACTAGGTTATAGAGTGTATTCTAAGGCTGTATAAATCTTGCATAGAATAATAATACAATAGGTAGTCAAAGATCATGAAAACTGTTTTGCTTTTTGAAATTGTGATAAAATTATAGTTACTGCTAGAACTAGGTAGGCGCTAGGCATGTTGAAGAAAGATGGTGATGAACGAAAATAAGAAATCTCGGTTTTCGTTATTTGCAGGTTTTTTACTTTGGAACTTTCTGGATAGCTGATGTCAGATTTTATGTATGGGCTAGATTCTTTATAGTAGGTGTCTGTGACTTGTTGGCGATAATTTCAACAATAAACAAACAGCACACAGTCCACTTGTTTAAAAATAATATATTAAAACAAGTCAAATGTATATGCAAATGTTCATTATACTGTTGATTACCACAGTTGAATCAAGAGCTTTAAATAATTCTTTTTCGTCAAAGTACACATAGGTTGGTTCAGTTACTTCAGAGCACAATTTCACAATACTAATTATTTTTCCTGCTCTGTTGTTACAATATAGTTTGTGATAATTTCATGTTAATGAAAATCACCAATATAACTACTGGTTACCGCAGTTTTATCCAGAGCTTTAAATAATTCTCCTTTTTTTGTCAAAGTCCACACAGGCTGGTTCATTTACTTTAGAATACAATCCACAAGACTATTTATTCTTCTCTACTCTGTTATTACAATAGAATCTGTGATAATTTCATTTTAAAATTGCCACTATACACTTTTTATGGTTAAACTCACAATCACACAGTCTAGATCTAACTTTGAACTAAATTTTGAAAGCATATTTATACCCCAACAGAGGTATAGAATGTTCCACACATTAGTAGATATTATGATGCAATAACACTCAATTAAAACAGAGAAAAACTCAAAGTTCTACTAACATGATGCAATAATACAACAGTCACCAATGCATAATTTTTTAACTACACAAAGTATGATTCATAAACAGTTACATAAATAAATATGCAATAAACTATCATTTCTAAAAATAACTAAACTTAACACTCACATTATATAACTATCTAAATCATAACACATTAAACTTAAACTGAAACAGTTGTATATATCCTTTTAGTGTTACTTTGTGTCATACTATCAATGTTTTGTGGCCAACTTCATGATAGCTTTACCATTTTCTCTTTTGTTTCAAAGTAATTTGCATTTTGATTAGACTAAAGACTAACTAAGCATTTCAGGCATTAAAATTTGTTTTGGTTGAGGTTTATATGTTGGCTGATCCTAGGTATTGGCTTCTTATGATTGTTTTAGTGTGTCTTGTCCTAAGTCCAGGAAGGTTTGGAGTGTGTAATTACATATGCTAACCATATGTTGATATCTTTTGAAGTATGGTGACATAAAATTCTTGTAGCTGTAATATTGGTCAAAAACTACTGTCACTTTTTTGTATAATAGAAGCTCACTGTTTGAATGGACCAAACTATTACAACTTCTTATATAATAGGAAGTTAACTATTTGAGTGGACCAAACTATTGCTAATACATGTATGATAGTAAGTTCACTATTTCAGTAACTTTTGTTGTGTAGTAATGCCCAGTTACTACAGACAGATTATCTTTCTTCATATAGTGAGTCTGAGTGTTTACTGAACATTCACGTTCTGGCTATTACATGCCTATAATATCCATTGCATCAGCAATTACAATGAACCATACAAACAGTGATGATTTTACTAGTGGATAGACTCTGCATAGGATAAATTGCAAACTTCAAGAGAAGCAACTGAAGAACTGAGATCTATCTTTTGGAGTGCTTGCTGTATAACAAAGTGAAAGTCACAGATTATTTAATGCAGTAAGACATACGAGATAGTGCAAGACAGAGTACTGTATTGTTGCATTTCAGTTTTTCATTTATGGTTATTAACACATTAAAATATGTTTAAAAACTAAACTATGAAAATGTGGGTTATTGTTTTAAAATTCCAATCATTTATTGAAACATATTTGTGATTATTGTACTCCTTTCTGTATATATATATTTTATGGAAATGTCTTACTCTTCAGTACCATATGTTGACAGTGACTCATTTTTTCTATCTTCTTTTTGTAATTTGTAGTAAGTCAGCATTTCGTTTGTAGAATATGCATTGCATGTAACATTTGTGGCTATACATGCAAAAATAGCATTAACTTTAGTTAGATGACTATTTTATTGGTATTTTGTGATATTTAAACAAAATGTATTTGGTAAAAAAAGTGATGTTATAAGGTACTCACCTAAACATAAACAAGTATTTTTGAAAGATTAATAACAAAAATTACAGAGTAAAACACAAGTTTTACTTTATAGCAATATTTTTGCTTTGAATAACTTCATTTTCCTATATGATATCTTACCTCCTTTCACAAAATAGCTTTTTCTATTAGTACTGCCCTCTATCAGTGCAAATTTTCAATGCTTGCCACTAGCCTTCCACCTTCCACTTCTTTATATTCATATGTAAATGATTATTCAGCAGCTCTTTACGAACAGGAGCGTGACGCAACCCCTATTTTAACCAGTGCCATGTCTACATTTGTACACGTTAATCACTTCTTGATCGAAAGTAGTACTGTACAGCAGTGCTTGTTTTTGCTCAAAAATTTGTCAACGTTTTCCTTTATGCTACAGACTTTTTTCTTTACTTATGTTTTTGTTATTTCTTTATTTACAGTAGTTGTTTTGCTAGTGTATTGTGGATCCCACTCTGTGGCGAGAAGTGCCTGATCAGGTATCCCATTTTTTTTAATACCCACACTGTACATCTTGTGACCATGCTCAATGTCAATTACATTGTAGCTCTTTCTACTGTTGACCTGATCTACAATTCCAGATGCTGCCAAGTGTTGGTTGTGTGTCTCCATTCAATTGATCCTCTATGCCAAAACAATTACATCGCAGGATTTGGTTATGTACACCGTAACGATGGGGTGTTCTGTAGGACTGCTAGTAGTTCTCTCTAGTTGTCTTTTGCTTCATAAATATGTTCATCCTAGACCGTACACTCATGGACACACATGAGTAAAGCAGACATGGATTCCTACCCATCTCTAATGCTCTGCGGCATTGAGACTTTTCCTACTGTGGACCTGATGTACAATTGCAGATGCTGCCATCCCACTGGGGTTTTTCCTCCTTCTTACCATCTGCTGGATGTCAGTTCATGATGGATTAGGTGTTGGTTGGGTTGGAAATGTATGCAGGTGGAGACAGATTTTGGTACAGACGCTCGTCTTTCCTACCAATTCTCATTTCAAGGTGAAGAGGTAGGTGATCCTCTGCCTACTGTGGAACTGATGTACAATTCCAGATACTGTCAGGTGTTGGATGAGGTCGAACTACCACTATAGTCTGTTGCACCCTAGCCACTCGAAACCAGGGGTCCCATTAATTAGTAATATGTATTATGGGATTCTTTCATGTTCATGATACAGTCATAAAAGAGTGAATAGTATACCTGAATCAGATGCGGTGCAGTCTCCAACTGAGGTGTGATATTTTCTATTTTGGTTCCACATCTCATGGTTTCACTTTGGGTGCTTCCTGAAGGGGGGCTTAATTTTTTCACCTGCCCTCCATCAGTTCAATGTGGGATTCTAGCTATTTTGTGAGCAGAAGTAAGATATCGTATTGGAAGTTAACGCATTTTCCTAAACTGAAAATTTATTTCTGATAGATACTTACCTTCTCTCACATTTTCCACTCAGCCTTCTGGTGACATGTGGTGTAGATCTTCTGACCAATCTTGAAGTGATTAGTGAGTGAAAATTGGAGAGGATGCTGGTTATGATGGGAATTGTGTCATGTTCCTGTTGGTGGAGAGCTGCTGCATAATCATTTACATGTGGATATGCAGAAGTGGGAGATGGAAAGCTAGTGGCAAGTGTTGAAAATTTGTGCTGATGGAGGTAAGTATCTATCGAAAATACATTTTCAGTTTTTGAAAGACTTACTGAGTAGTGAAAGAGTTAAGAAATGTATCCAAAATGTAACTTCTATATATATACTATCATTTTTTTTTATCCCATGCACATAAGTGAACAAGCAGTTTCATGTCTTAGAAGGGATTTAAGTGTAGTAGGTCGTACTGGCTATGAAATATTTATGGAACGCATCTGTCAGTAATGTAGGTTTGGACAACATTTGTATCACTGTGCTGTCATCCATTCTTATATCACCCAAGCCAGAGCAGTCCGTAGATATTTTGAAATTTTAGCATGTAATATTTTTAGTTCTTGTATTTTGACAATCCTGGGAAAGTCAAATTTTTATAACATTTAGTTAGATAATTTATAGAGTCGAGTTTTGTGTATTTGCAGTAGAAATTATCTCAAAAAATTTTACTTTATCTTTTCATAACATTCTTGTAAGTGAAAGAGAAAAATTTCAAAAGCCATATTTTAGGTATAGATAGTTTAGTCTTCTCAGTTATTCTAGAAAGTAATGTAAAATTTTTTTAACAAACTTGATCCTCATAATTTTTGAAATGCAAGCACTATAAAGCAAGGACTATATATTTGTTAAGGGATAAAACATGTTTAGTTGCCTAAGTTACTACAGTAGTGTTGCCATTAAAAATTGCTGTGATAACCTTTATAAAATCTCTTAATTGCAAAAGATCAATATCTGAATTTCATGCACACTTTTTTTCACTATGAAAACAGTTATTCTTTAATCTGTGGTACTAACAGTTATATTTAAGCTTTAAAATTTGTATGAACAATTATCAGAATATTTTCATTTCTAGATATGACTTAAAAACTTTGCTATGCTTTTAATAAGTACTGAAAATTGTCGTTGTCACAGGCCAAACTAATATTAAGAGCTAATGGTGTTTTTGCTAAATTTTGAACTTGTATTTTCACAAAGAAATTATTGGAAATAGCCTGAAACCTTGACCGGTTATACTGTTGTTTCGTAAATTTCTCAATGTTACATTTGCCTCAAAGGTATATTTCTTTATATAATTTAGACACCAGGTTCTGTGGAAACAAAAGATGACAGTCGACTGTTGTTGCGAGAATCAAGTCCCTCTACTCCACGATCTTTGCGACTTGAACGAGTTGCACGAGCCTTAGCACAAAGTAGTGAAGAGCTTAGAAGGTGAAGAATTTTAGTTGATAGTTTGAACACACTGAATTTCAAAAGATATTGTATTCTGTTCTAGTTATCAATACCATTACTGCTATAGACTTGAGACTGAATGAACTTGACAAGTGTGTATTAGAATGAAATATGGGAAGTAAATCTGTGATGTAGCTTCATTATACATGCTAAGAAAGTACTATGAGTAATTTATCATAGAAAGTATAATACATCCTGGCCTCATAATTATAATATGTGGTAGTTATAATGTTATTCTATGACCTAATGCCAGACCTTTTTGAAAAATTTAAGCCTTTAATGTTGTTGTACAAAATGCTTAGTAAAGTATATTTACATCTGCCTTTGTTGTTATTCCTTCATTCATAAAGCAGTTGTAGTGACTTGTTCACTGAGCTTTGCAGCTCTCTGTTGCAGGTATGTTGATTGTTGTCAAGTGCATAATATGCCTGCATGGTTACAATGACTACTGAGAAGCAGAATTATAGTGTGATGTTTAATTTGGTATGAGCATAATTCATATTTTCTATTGGATGCAACTAAATCAACACATTTCACAACGTTTTCTATTGAATATAGTTATGTGAGCACTGTTCATGACACTTTTCATTGGATACAACTATATGAGGACAGTTCATAAAATCTTTTATTAGTTACAACTAGCTGACCACAATTAATAAACAATTTTCATTTAGTACTGAGAGGTTCATACTCTTCATAATTTGTGCTATGTAAGATGTACAATTTATAGCTTTAGAAATAGCATTAATTGAATTCCATTAACTACATTAGAAGAAGCTTATTGATATGCAATAACTTTATTTTTACTGAGTTTAGTTAAGTACTATTTCCTTTTAATTTGTTTGCATATATTTGTTTTGCGTAGTGTGTTAACTTCATGGGATAGATAAGCTTTAATTATGCAGAAGATGTTACAAAAACTATTTTTTTGTTTAGCTGCTATAAATTTTTCAATTTTTCTATTACTTAAAGGTGAATGTACTTCTTGACTTTACATATGAATGTTTTTGCTTGAATACATTTATATAGTTTTCATCTTATTTTCATTGAAGAATTGTTTGATAACATTTAGGCTGTGACAGCTCCATCATATATAGAGAATTGTTTGTACTTTTTCTAAGAGGCCAGAATCTATTACTTAAAAAGTTTCAAATATTTTCAGAAGGAAAAGTTCCAAAGGTAAAAAGCTTACGACACCTGCATATTAAAAAAAGGATCTGGAGTTAAAACAAATCTCAAGGCTGACTTTACAAGCTTTGAAACTAGAAAAGCAATCTTAACCCATTAACTGCGAATGACGGATATTTCCGTCATTGAAGTTCTATGGCTCAGCTGCGAATGACAGAAATATCTGTCAGTCGCACACATATATAACTATAACTCTATGCGAATGATGATGATTACCATTTTATTGTGATTGATGGCAACTCAGTTTTATCTGTGAGTCAGAAAATGGCAACTGAGCTGCTCCTGCAGCAGTTAATGGGTTAACAGAAGCCACTAATCAGGCTTATAATAGGTGATATTCATTACTACTGTTAATATGTCATGACTATATATTCTCTTTGTTTGTAAGGATTTCAAGTTATGTTTTATTGTGCATTTTAAAAGTCATTAAAAGACTATATGGTTTTGATTAAAGATAAGCTCCAGTGTCAAGTTTTACATTAGTAGAATATAGCCAAATTCTCACTTCTGTAAGAGCACAATAAAGTTAGTTTCTTTCAGACAGTGTAAGCTTGGTTAATAGGTAAAATTGCTTCACAATAAACAATCTGAACATTTCACAAAATTTGCTCCCATAATTTTAAGTCATGGTGATTTCAGTACCAACCTAGCTATTAAATATTGTGTAATATTACAAGTAGACACCTGTATTTGTGCAAACCACATACAATTATTTTGGATAATGGGTAAGTCATACAGAACTTGCCAGAAGACTGAAATATCTTTATTTTTCATGGATAATTTGCTGTCAACACACCCAGCAAAATGTATATCAGTTGAAGCATGAGATGCTAGAGAAATGATGTTCAAATAAAGTTTCAAAACTTTAAAAAGTACAAGCAACTCTATGTGAATTCAACACTTTCTTTAAACAACTAATTTTTTATTGTTGTTTTGCTTTATAACAGAGAAAATACTTATAATGCAAGCTTGCATCCTATTACACCTGCTGTTACGACAACTATTACTACGACAATAGCATCCGTATCATCTTCCATAACCACAGTTCCACAGGATTTTTATATGAGGTGATTGTATAATACCTTTATGTGTCTGTTGTGATGAGGATGAAAGAAAATATATATATACATAGTCAAAGTTACAAATATGTTTTTTTTCTTCACAAAACCTCTTTTATTAGTTAATAATAAAAAGTTACTAATTGAAAAATTACCATTTTCCTACATGTAATAGTGTAACAATTATTATGGAGAACTGTGTTATTGCTGTGATGTCTGAATCCTCATTTATCACATGTTGTGTTTTGTGTTGAAAGTAATACAAATTATTAATTTATTTAAACTTAAACTGTTCTATTAAATTATAAAAAATAAACCTTTTGTTATTTGAGGCTTATAATAACCAGAAATATTTGAAGCAAGTTTTAAATTTTATAAAACATTAGATTACTCATACCTGGTGTGATGTACTGATTCACAAAGTAGAGTGAAATTGTGAATTTGCTTTTTTTTATTCCCCCTAAAGGTGCCAATTTTTTAATCACTTTTGCTTGTTTTTGGTAAAGGAGAAAAGCCAAATCCTATCATTATGTTTTTTTTATATAAATTATGAGCTCATACACACACACACGTATGATCATTGTTTTATAATTTTGTTTATATTTCTTGGAATTAGAATTATTTAAAAACTACTTTGATTTTATTTGGAAATGTAAATTTGCATGCTTAAACAATAAATGATTGGAGCAAGTTTCAACCTTTTTTACTCTGGTATTTCTTCTGTTTATTGGGAATGTTTGTTTCAAACATGCTAGCAGTTCATGTTTTTAAAAACTTTTTTTTTCATGTGTAATATTCACTAGAGATGCATATTTAAACCATATACCAATGATGGATGGAGGGTTTCTAAACTCTACCACCCCCTTCAGCTCCACCCATTCTTCCCAAGATTCCTTGCACAAAGCACAATCAAAAAAAAAGGACTCAAGTCATCACTTGGAAGATTTTTTAGTAAAAAGGAAAAAGTGAAATCAAAAGACATTTATGGTAAAAAACATAAGTATTATTTTAGCAGATTTACTTCCAGTCTTAACTTTAGTTTTTTTTATTTAGTGTATTCTTAATTTAAAGCTACATGCCTATAAGTATTACTGTTATAGCAGGGCTAATTCTAGCTTTAGCTTTATGTTTAGCGTATTTTTAACTATAATATACAGTCCTGAACAAACAAATAATAATAGTAATGTGGAGATGCTAGTTTCGTAACTTTGTGAATCATTGTATTTATCTAACATGTTCAAATATGGTTGTAATATTTCTATTTTCACCTGTTTCTTTTATTTTTAAAATAATTTTAAAATTACCCATCATTTTATATGATAAATATCTTCTGGAAGTTGACATTTGTGCATTTTGCAAAAAACATTTTTTTCTTTGTTTTTTGTTAAGCACAAAGCTACACAATAGGAATGAGCTATTTGTGCTGTGTGGGCACTCAGATTTACCGTTGAAGGCATTTTTTTCTTTAAATTTTTGTAACAAATTTTTTCAAGGATAATTTGGACATTTCCTACTTAGTGAATGGATCACTACTTGTCAATTATAGATGACCATGGACGTCCACAGGGGAGAAAGAGAGGGCACCCCACCCCCCGGGAAATGAGAAATCTAATTCTTTCTTTATTCATTCAATTCACAATTTCACACTACTTTGCTCTCCCTGTAAAAATTCCTGTGGATGCCCATGTAGATGTCTACATAATTGCCATTTGTTTGTTTTTAAATATGCAGTACTCTCCCGCTGATCTTGTGTAAATCAAATAAATTGATAATTAAATGTTTCATTGATAATAAAACATATTTAATTATTATTGATAATGGTCAAGAGGTCAAATCCTTCCCTGGCCAAAATGGCATATAGGATCTGGTGTTGAACTCCAGCATAATTGATACATGCAGATGAAAATTGTGATACAATCCCCCCTGAATGAAATGCCATCCTATTGTAGGCTAACCCTCATTTAATAGCTGGGACCCATCATACAGCTGGGTAGACTGAAATAACTGGAGTAAAGAGCTTTGCTTAAACACACAGCAGCGTGATACACACCAGCCTCAAATTCGCAACTATTCAATTACGAGGCCAAAGCATGACGTTGCTGCTCCAAGCTTCCCCTACTAATAAGGGTCATAATGTTTTTACTTAAAACATCACCATTACTGTTAGAAATAACTAAGAAGCCAATTTATCTATGTATTTTGTTTGAATACAATAAACATAAAAATAATATTCAATAATGAATTGAGCCACATCAGAATATATAATTTAAAAAAAATTGGCAGTCACCTTTTATACTCACTGAACAGTAAACTTTACTAAGCTTATCAGATTTAATGATGATATGATTTCATGTGGTGAACACATAATAAAGACAAACACATGTATAACATATCAACAAAATATCTTTGCTAAGCCTTAAGTCTTCTCTAGTCATTTGACTTCTGTGTTTCATACTGCCTATATGTTTGTATCTAGATAAACTGCTTGTTCCTAATGATGACAAAACCTTCTCCAAATGTTGTACATTTGTTACTGTGTTAAATTTATGATAATGTTTTCCTTATTACCCATCCAATCTGTCTCTAAGCTGTATAAATATACCTTATCTCAAGTTATCTTATGTCTTCTCATTGAAGACAGTTTCTGTAGCCTTCAAACAGATATAATTTAACACACAATTACTGTCATAACTCACAAATGAAAGGATCATTTACAGAAGCTATAAGAAAACTTAAACCTATATATTTACTTTTTATCTATAAAATAAATAAATAAAGCTATGTATGGTTGGCTACTAAACTTGAAAATAACAAGATAGGGATGGAAGTGGACGTATCACTTGATTGGCTAATGATCACATAACAGACTACATTACTGGCTTCTCGACTTTCTCTATTGAAAGCTTGGTGTTTTAATAGAATCTCAGCTTTTATCAGTATACCTTTCCTTTAGTCAAATTTAGAATACTACTTTTATGACTATTTTACGATAGAGTAACATTTTATGATCAGAAATTCTGATTCTGTGTGTGTTTTCCCTGTGAGGAAAACAAATACATCCAGACTTGCACTCACTTGTGGGCCCGGCATGGCCAGGTGGTTAGGGTGCTCGACTCGCAATCTGCGGGTCGCAAATTCGAATCCCCATCACAATAAACATGCTCTCTCTTTCAGCTGTTGAGGTGTTATAATGTGACAGTCAATCCCACTATTCATTGGTAAAAAAGTAGCCC